TCCCCCCCCCACCTCTTCCGTACCTGCATCAAGCAGCTCTCCACCGCGCCGCCCGCCCTGTTCTTGCTGCTCTCCTCGCCCGCGCCAGGAAGGTCCAGGAACCGCTGCAACAACACACTCGTAGCTGCCGCCAGCTCCCCGCCGCCGTCACCGCCGCCCTCCCCGCCGGCGGCGCCGCCGTCCGCCTCGACCTCCGCCAGCGGCCAGATCCTGTTGGCCCCGTTGCGCACCTGCACCTTGGTGTTATCCGTATCCGTGGCGAAGTAGCAGTGCTGCAGCAGGCGCCAGTAGGCCCGCTGCACGTAGCGCAGGTTGGACTCAGGGGCGTCCTGGGAGGGCTGAAGAAGCAACACGTCCAGGACCTGGAGGGTGGAGGGAGGGAGGGGGGGTGACACGTAATCATTGGGGGATGAGAGGGGAGTGGGATAAGGATAATATGCCGTGTGGGAAGGAATGCGAAATGCAAAAATCGTGTGAGAAGGCTGCAGCGAAGGAAGGACCGGGAGAAGCAAATAGGCACGAGGGTTGCAAACAGCGGCCTTTCCCCAGGACACCGAAAGACACACCCTCTCTCTCCCGCACCGCGAAATCCTCCAATTACCGGCCTTCCGCAGACTCATTTTCTCACCCCACCCGCATTGGCATAAACACATACACACAACACACACTTCTCCCTTACCTGCGGCAGGCTCATGTAGCCCGATGCCTTCACCACCAGCTCCGGCTCCTTACCCACACAACAGTCAGCAAGCAGCTGCATGCAGGCCGTGTGGTACGACAACCGACTAACGGGCGGTACGGCATTCGCTTTTGCGGTTAATCGCTCTGAAGCCAGCAGCTTCCTGAGCTCGTCCAGCCCCGCATCCCCCGACAGCAGCAACATGGTGTCCTCGCCGTACTGTGTGATGAGCTGCATGGCCACCATCTGGTTGCGCTTGATGGGGTTGCCGTTCACGACCATCACCTTGCCTGTTGTGACAGAAGGAGGGGGGGGCAAGGGAAACAACACCACCATCACCACCATCGCCACCATCGCCAGGAAGCCACACCACGGCACCAACAACAACCACAACAGTAGCGGAGAGAAGGAAAACGTACGCGTTGGAGATAAAAGGGAGAAGAAGGAGAAAAAGAACGAGAGCTAGAGAAACGACAAGAAGCGTGAACGCTGTGGAGATGGTAGCCCTCGTCACCGGCCGCTGGCACGTCAATGCCCTCCCTTTTCCACCCCCCCCTTTTTCTTGGCCCCACTCCCCTACTCCCTCACTCCCCCACCAAGGGTCTCACCTAGCAGCTCCAGCCACCCCGCGTGTTTCTTGTCCCCGTATCGAGTGATGAGCTTGATCAGCTTGCGAATCACCTTCTCACCCTCGGTGGCCGCATCGGCCTGGAGCCACCCAGGCAAAAGGAGAGAACACAGGGGGACAAGCAGGGCGGCTGAGAGGCTGAGAGGGGGGGGAGAGAGAGGGGGAATAATCTCACAATAAGGGGTACAACAACTGCACCACCTGCGAGAGAGTGCCTTAACTCGACACCCATACATATAAGATTTATCCACAGAGCGGCCCCTGTCAGCCACTTACCAGGTTGTTAATGAACAGCGCAATGACGGTGTCCGAGGCGGGCAGTCCATGTGTGTCCAGGAAGCTGAGCAGCAGCTCCAGGGAGGGCAGCACTGCCCGCTGGTTGGCGTGGGAGGAGACGTTGGCGGAGGGGGTCTCCAGATCCCCCACCACCATGAAGTGACGCAGGAAGAGCAGGCAGGCACGAAACACATTCTGACGCGAGGGGTCCTCAGCAATCTGGATCTTGCGGGCATCGGACTGGTGCTTGCGCTTCAGAGGAAGCTTCAGGAACTTGAGGACCATCAGGTGGATCTGGTGGTGTGGGGACATGGAGGGCGGAGGTGGAGGGGGATTGATGATGGCAGGGGCGGAGGCAGGTGTATGGGGCGGCAAGGGTGTGGCAATTCGTGCAGGAGTGGCGGAGTGTCGACCGGGATGAGAAACAGGATTTCGCTGGTTTGGGAAGAGGGAATGGAGGGAGGGGGGTTGAGTGGGGGGAGACCCTGGGAAGGGGGGTGCGGGAAGGTGAAAGCAGGAGGTTGACAGGACCACACACCTAACGTACTTAAGCCCAAATGCTCCCATCCCCCTTTCTCAATTCTGCTCCTTCCCCCCATCATACTGTCTACCTTGCACCCAACTCCCGCACTTCATCCCCAAAAAACATACATACATACGCATACACATACATACGCATACACATACATACGCATACACATACATACATACATACATACATACATACATACATACATACATACATACATACATACATACATACATACATACATACATACATACATACATACATACATACATACATACATACATACATACATACATACATACATACATACATACACGCACGCACGCACCTGCAGGTCGAACATGAGATACTGGCAGTTCGCGGCCGTGGTCTTGGACACGAAAATCCTTTCCGGCTGGCCGCCTTTCTCCTCCCCCTCCCCCTCCTCCCCCTCCATGATCCCCGTGCTGACAGTGACGTGCTGCAGGGGTATGAGCAGGCTTGTGAGCGCGTCAATGGCCCTGGCCGCCTTGGCACACGCATCCCGGCTTTCAGAGGGGTCCAAGCTGCCCATGTAGTTGTACGCGTGTTGGGCTGTCTCAACCTGGTGGCATAGGGGGGAGGTTGGAGAAGGGAGGAACGTGGATTTGAATTGGGGGTGATTTGCAGCGTGGAAGGGGGGGGGTAATGGGGAGGCAACACCACAGGAAAAGAGGTAATATAGGTAGGTAAGAAAGGAAATGTCTCTGTACTCCGCCCTAACACTATTTCGGTAATTCAACCACGTATTACCCATTTTACCCATTTAGGTGAAGTGGGTCACTCATTCTCACTGTGCTCACTTTTGCACTCATCACTCGCGTAAACATGTTTTGGTCGGCGGCGCTTCTCCGCGCACCCAATACCCGCCTCCATTCTGTCCGCTTTGCCTCTTTCCTTACCGCAGCTTAGTCTCATTGGATGTGTACTTTTTTTTGCGCACCCACATATACACACAAAGGCGCATTTACCTGCTTAATTGCCCAAGCCGCCAGAGCAATGAGCTCGTCATCCGTCACAACAAAGGTCCGCATCAGCTCCTCTAGAAGCTTCTCGCGCTTACTTGTCAACCGCTCCACCAACTGAAATGTACGAGCGGTCAACTCCTGGTCGTCGTACCTGACGAGAGGGCAGACAATCAGGAAAGCCAGAGGTTCGGTTAAATGGCGGTGAGGAGTGTCGTACTACGTCGTACTACGTCGTACTGCGTCGTACCCGGTAGAAGGAAAGGGTGGACTGCGCACATGCTGCTGTAATGAAATGGCAGTGCGGACGCAACAACGTGGCGACCTGCCCTGCCCTGCCCCTCCCACCCCGCTCCTCACCTGACCAGGTCAAACATCTTCATGATGGGGCTGCCGGCCTGCACGTAAAGCGGTTCCGTATCCCGAATGGTATCCAGCTTGAACAGGGGAAAGTCGCCATCCTCGTTGTCGGCAGCCAACGCATCCGCCGCCTCCTCAGCCCAGCGCTCAGGACCGTCACTGCGCCGTATCATCTCGCCGTCGCCTTCACCAGAATCTGCGACACACATAATGCCGTTCAGTATGCCGTATGCCGTACAATATGCCGTGTGTCGGGCGTTATACAACGCAGGGAGTGATGGCCGTGGGGGTTAATGGGTGGGGGGTAGTGGTTTGTGGATAGGGGGGAAGGAAGAGCCACAAGTGGATGCCTCCACGGATCAGTGCCACGGAGCAAAACACACCACGACCCGTTCCTTCCACCACCCTCGCCACTCTCCGTTCCATCCGCCCTCCCTATTCCCAGTACAACCCCCCTTTTCCCACCCCAGGACACACACTCTCTCTCCCGGCCTCTTCTCACCCTTGCCAAACCCCAAGCCGGCCCCAATACACACACGCACCTTCTCTGGGCGGTGGTGCCTCCATATCCCCCCCTGCCCCCTTCATCCCCATGGCGCCCAAGTTGATACGTGAGGTGCCGGGTGTGGGCAGCACTTTGTTGGCGGCGGTTGTAGTCAGCGTGGCCACTGCCCTGACACTTGCACCCAGGACCCGAAGACCGCTACAGTGGGAAGGGAGGACGAGGACGAGGAGGGAAAGGCGGCTTCGTTGGGGGCAATGAATTGGTCTTCGGATTGTTTTTCATTTCAGATATACAGGGAATGATTCGCCTTGAGGGCTGCTTTGCAGCACTCAGTGCTGTGGTTACGGTTGGTGGTTGTTTTAAAGTTGGAAGTTTTGGGTTTGTAGATTGTGCGGATGGGAAGCAGCACCACATGCATCACATATACACAGACTACTGGAACCCCCCTCCTCACCCCCGCAACCCCTCCTCCATAACCCCCCGAACCCCCACATAGTCCTCACTCACCTTATGGTGGCATTCCCCATTCGGGAAATCTGCGCATGCACCTTAGCCAGTCGTTCGGGGGATCGCTGCCACTGCGCGAACCTGTCAAACACCGCGGCACATTGCTGCTCGGACTTCATGTCCAGAGCGAAGTCAATGGTGGCCAGAGCCACCTTCTTGGCCTGCATCACGACCTTGGAGGTGTAGCTGTAGGAAAGAGGGCAAGAGGGACAGGGGGAGGCGGAGAAGGAGGGGGAAAAAGGGGCGTGACAGTGTGGAAGTGGGACTGGGCGGAACAGAGCGGGGAAAAGGTATAGATACGTGGGGAGAACGTTGAAAAGGAAAATTGCACGACGCCGCCAAATGAGGGACGTGAGAGAGTCATAAGAAGGCAACGAACGATGGGGGGCCTTGCCACCCCCACCCCCAACTCCATCCCCATTACAAATGCTCATGTACACGCCTACCTCCTCTCCCCTCCCCTCGCCCCAACCCCAACTGGTCCCCCTCCGCCCCATACCCGCTCCCCACCTCCTCTGAAACCTCGCCGGCTTGTCCAGGGGCATGGAGTCCAGTTTCTGAATGATGTCCAGCAGTACGGCAAGCACCTCCTGCGTCACACCGGAATCCAAATCCATCATACCCAGGTGGAACATCTCATGGACCATCTTGAGGTAGTTGAGCACCAGCGTGTTGCGACCCACGGTTCGCTCCCCGCGCTCGGCGGGCTGGTAGACGCCTCCATCGTCCTCCTTCATTTGGAGGCGGGTGTGGGGGAAGGGAGGTACGTGTGGGGGAGAGGACAGGGTTGGGAAGGGGTTGAGAGGAGTGGAAGGGGCCTAGACGATCGCCTAGACGGAAGGGCTGCTAAGGAGGCCACTTCCTAGCGCACACCTAGCCACACAGCAGCTCAGTCACCAATACACACACACACACAGACACACGACATGCAAAGCGTATACACACACACGCAATAAAACATAGCATGCACCTCCTTCATCCCACCCCCCAGCCCCACCTTGTCCCCACCGTCTCCTCCTCCCCCTCCACCACCGCCGCCGGTCGCCGCCGCCCCGGTCTCCACCCCCGCCCCGCCTGCCGAAGTGGTGGCCAGTCGCAGCTGCTCCAGAACTGTACGGATAAGGGTGTTGATGGTTTCGGAGTTCGGGTTTGTCTTCAGAGACACCCTTATGGCTCCCTTTTTGGACATCAACCGAATGTGTCGAGGCAGCTTGAGGGTCTGGTAGGGCTCGATGTCCACATACAGTGCGCGGAGGACCTACAGGTGGGGTGGAGGTGAGGGGTACGGGGAGAGGGGGCGGGGCGGGTGGAAGGGCGATGAGAGGGGAGTTAATTGGTTGGAAAGAGGGCGGTGTCAGGGTTACCGACCTGACACTACCCGGACACGTTACCCCCTTTTCTCCCAGGGTAGTGGGAGGAGGAGGTGGGGGAATACTCTCAATGCCGCCCTACCGTACCCAGCACTCCCCACCATATGCCATATCCTCACACACACGCTCCTTCATCACATACAGACAAACATACACACACACCTGTGCACCATGCCCCATACTACCGTCACCATGCTCCGTCTCACCTGCACCATGTATGTGCGCATGGAGTACGGCAGGGCCTTATTAGTCACCGCTTTCTGCAGTGCATCGAACTCGAGTCCCAGGCCGTATTTGGCCGACGCCCTCAGGATCTGATCTCGCGCCAGGCTGTTGCGGCCGTAGCACAGCGACACAATGAACTTGAGTGAGAAGCAGTAGTAGATGAAGAGCTCGCGGGGCGAGTAGGCGGTCTCCTCGCTGGAGAGATCCCACTCCTGACACGGGAAGGACAGGGGGAGGAGGAGGGGGCCCGGGGGGAGAGGAGGGAGGGCGGAAACCATAATATGCAAAAAGTAAGACACAGTTGCCCCGGACTTTGGGAGTTGGTAAAGAAAAGAAAGGAAATATGTGCTAATGTGGAGGTCCAAGAA